CGTGAGTTCGAGCCCCACGTCAGGCTCTGGGCTGATGGCCCAGAGCCTGGAGCCTGCTTCCGATTCTGTGTCTCCCTCTCTCTCTGCCCCTCCCCCGTTCATGCTGTCTCAAAAATAAATAAATGTTAAAAAAAAAAAAGATGTTCTTTTACTTTTTTTAAGTAATTTCTATATCCGACATGGGGCTCAAGCTCACATCCCCATGATAGTCACATGTCCACTCACTGAGCCAGCTAGGCATCCCTAATATTTTTTTTTAAACATGGTTTTCAAATATAGTTGTGTATTAGAAATACCCTAAGAACTTTTTTAAACAATGTTTATTTATTTTTGAGTGAGAGAGAGCATGACCATGGAAGGGGCAGAGAGAGAGAGAGGGAGACAGAGAATCCCAAGTAGGCTCTGCACTGTCAATACAGAGCCTGATGTGGGGCTCTAAATCACTAACTGTGAGCCAAAACCAAGAGTTGGATGCTCAGTTGACTGAGCCACCAAGGTGCCCTGAATTTTTTTCTTGATAAGTTCAAATATTGTATCAGTTTCATCTTCTTTAAGAAATCTCTCCTAAAGCCATCTGCTCTGCTTCAATCTGGACTTTTTGCCCTCTCTAACCAGGGTACACTTGTCATCCTGGATATTGTCTTTGCCTATCTCCTGTGTTGAATGTTCTGTTCAGAAGGTTTAGGCAAAGCCCAAGAGTTCTAGGGAGAGGGGAGGAGAGGGGTCATGGTTTTTCTGGGTTTTGCTTGATCTCTCTAGTTCCTTACCCTTAACTCTGCCTTGTGTTCTCCAGACCAGAGACCCTCAATCATATTCTCTCTAGAAAATAAACCTTTAGTTTTATGCTACAGTACAGAAGAGGCAGTTAATCATGCTGAACAGACAAGTTTAACAACATTCCTTGATCAGGAGTCAAAGGCAGTGGTGCTCTACAGGATAGGAAAGCTAATTTAGGAGCCAGTGACTTAGTGTTTTCATGGATTCCCTTACAGATGTTCTGGAGGGACAGAGAATAATAATGGGTGAAAAACATTGGCATCATTAATGCTGAGTCAAAAAGTGATAAAGCCACTGAATGTGAAAACATTTTAGGAAAACTTGAACCAATTTATTTTGTTACATATATTTTTTATGGATGTTCAAGAATGATCTAATTTTTAAAAATCCAAACCTAATTTACTCTAAAAGAACTATTTCAATAAGTATAAAATTTAATAATTTAAGTGAATAATTGACATAATTTGATAATCTTTTTTCTTATAATCAGTGGTGTCTTAGACGAAAGGAAAATAATATTATGGATTTATACCCTTTTTTGTCACATGGGTTTCAAGTATTTTTGTCCATCATTTTTGTCTTTTGTGTGGTATTTTTCATCATATGGAGGTTTTACATTTTTATGTCAGCAAACCCATATATCTTCCTATGTTATAGATTCTGAGCCTTGCCCGAGATATAAAATATTCCTTAGTATTTTCCAGCATTTTTTATAGTTTTATATTTAATATTTAAATTTTTTAACCCATCTGGATTTATTTTTATTTCCAATAATGCTTTTTTTTGGTTACTTCTCTTCTCATTTTAAATTTTATTTGCTTAACTTTTCCCTTTTCACTTTTTTTTCCCCCTTTTCACTTCTTGAACATTAATTTTTCAAGGGCCTAACTTTAGAATGGCTTCATTTATTTTTTCTTTTTGTAACTTTTAGGTAGAGTTTATTACCTTTATTTCTGAGTAATATAGAGTGATGAATTATCTAACAAGTACAGCTTTTATAGCATGTCATAAAATTTTTTTTAATTTTTTAAATTTTTTATTTATTTTTGAGAGCAAGAGACCGAGTGTGAGTGGGGAGGGGCAGACAGAGAGGGAGACAGAATCTGAAGCAGGCTCCAGGCTCTGAGCTGTCAGCACAGAGCCCAATGCGGGGCTCAAACCCACAAACTGTGAGATCATGACCTGAGCCTAAGTCTGACGATCAACCAACGAGCCACCCAGGTGCCCCAGCGTGTCATAAATTTTTAAATATTTTTACTGAGGTGTGATTTATATACCACATACACCTATGATAAGTGTATAATTCAGTGATTTTTTTCATAACTTTGCAGAGTTGTGCAATCATTATCACAAGCCAGCTGTAGAACGTTCCCATCACTCCAGAAAGTTCCTTGTATTCATTTTGCAGTCAGCTCCCATTTTTACCCCCCGTCCCAAATGACCACCGGTGTGCTTTCTGTCTTTACAGATCTGCCTATTTTGGACATATCATATAAATGAAATTATACAATAAATAGTCTTTTGGGCCTGATCTTTTTCACTTAATGTCTTTGAGGTTCATCCACATTGTAGTATGTATCAGTAGTTCAATCTGTTTGTTGTATTGCTGAATAGTATTCCATCAGATGGACATATGACGTTTTATTTAGATGTCCAACAGTTGAGGGGCGCCCGGGTGGCTCAGTCGGCTAAGCGTCCGACTTCAGCTCCGGTCACGATCTCGCAGTTCGTGGGTTCGAGCCCCGCGTCAGGCTCTGTGCTGACAGCTCAGAGCCTGGAGCCTGTTTCAGATTCTGTGTCTCCCTCTCTCTCTGACCCTCCCCCGTTCATGCTCTATCTCTCTCTGTCTCAAAATAAATAAACATTAAAAAAAAAATTTTTTTTTAAATTAGATGTCCAACAGTTGACTGGACGTTTGGCTTGTTTTCACTTTGTATCTGTTACGAATAATGCTGCTGTGTGCATCTGTGTACAAGTTTTTGTGTACACATATGTTTTTAATCTTTTTTTAACTTTTTAAATATTTATTTTTGAGAGAGAATGCGAGTGGGGGAGGGGCAGACAGAGGGAGGCAGAGGATTCAAAGTGGGTTCTGTGCTGAGAGTAGCAATCCTGATGTGGGGCTCAGACCCACAAACCTGAGCCAAAGTCAGACGCTCAACCAACTGAGCCACCCAGGTACCCCATCAATCTCTTGATTATATACCTAGGAGTAGTATTGCTGGGTCAGAGGATAAGTATGTATTTAATATTTTGTAAAACTGCTAAACCCTTCCAAAGTGGCTGCACCATTTACATTCCCACCAACAGTTTAAGAGGGTTTCAGTTTTTCCACATCCTTGCCAACATCTGATATTGTTAGTCTTCTTGATTATAGCCATTCTAATAGGTATGAAGTAGTGTCTCCTTGTGGTTTCAGTTTGCATTTTTTTTTTAATTTTTAATGTTTATTTGTTTTTGAGAGAGGGAGAGACAGATAGAACACAAGCAGGAGAGGGGCAGAGAGAGAGGGAGACACAGAGTCCGAAGAGGCTCCAGGCTCTGAGCTGTCAGCACAGAGCCCAACACAGGGCTCGAACTCATGAACCACAAGACTGTGACCTGAGCCAAAATCGGACTCAACCTACTGAGCCACCCAGGTGCCCCTCAATTTACATTTTTAATGTTTATTTATTTATTTTGGGAAAGAAAGAGAGCAGGGGAGGGGCATAGAGAGAGGGAGTGAGAGAATCCCATGCTGGCTCCACACTGTCAGCGCAGAGCCCAATGTGGGGCTCGATACCACAAACTATGAGATCCTGACCTAAGCCAAAATCAAGAGTCAGACACTTAACGGACTGAACCAACCACATGCCCCTCAATTTGCATTTTCCTAATGACAGTGATGTTGAGCATCTTTTAATGTGCTCGGTAGAGTTGTTTGATTATCTTTTTTGGTGAAGTGTTTATTCAAACATCTTTCTAATTCTTAAATTGGCTTGTCTTCTTACTGAGTTCAGCATGCCAAAATTTTTGGTTTGTTGTATTTCTCTGTTTGCTGAAAATCAGTCTGTTATGAACACTGAATTTTATCCCTATCCTATGTATAATTTAAGAGAATTTTCTTAGGGGCACCTGGGTGGCTCGGTTGTTTGAGCTTCCAACTTCAGCTCAGGTAATGATCTCACAGTTCATGAGTTCAAGCCCTGAACTGGACTCACTGCTGTCAGCGCAGAGCCCTTTTTGGATCCTCTGTCCCCTTCTCTCTTTGCACCTCCCCTGCTCGCACTCACTCTCTCAAAAATAAATATTTAAGAAAAAAAACTTTTTAAAGTATTTTCTTAATATTTCCCTATGACCAGTCAATTTTCAATCCTGTTTTTGTTTTGTGTTTCTACATCCCTTAACATTTTTGTATGAATTTTGTTTGTTCATACAGGCATATAGAGCAAAGTTCACCCTTTTTAGGTGTATAGTTCTATGACTTTTGACAAACTTAGTAACATAGTAACCTCTATGACAACTGAGATAGAGTATTTCCATCATCCCAAAAAGTTCCTTCATGCTTCTCTGTAGGCAGTCTCTTCCCTCCACTCCAGCCTCTGGCAACTACTGATTTGAATTTTGTTCCCATGGTTTTGCCTATTTCAGAATGTCCTATAAATGGAATCATCCAGTACATAATTTTTTTGAGTCAAACTCGTTTCACTTAGCATAATGCTCTTGAGATGTGTCCATGTTGTTTGTTATGTGTATCAGTAGTTTCTTTTTATTCCTGAGTAGAAATCCATTGTATGCACCTACCACCATCCTGGAACACCCTATGCAGAGTGTTTCATCCCTTTCTCGGGACTTAATAGTTGGAATCATTTTGGTCAACCAGGTAAAAATTTTTAAACATTTAGTAGAAAAAAACGACTTTTGGGGAGCCTGGGTGGCTCAGTCGGTTAAGCGTCCAACTTGGACTCAGGTCATGATTCACGGTTGGTGGGTTTGAGCCCTGCATTGGGCTCTGTGCTGACAGCTCAGAGCCTGGAGCCTGCTTCAGATCTTGTGTCTCCCTCTCTCTCTGCCCCTCCCCTGCTCATGCTCTGTCTCTCTCTCTCAAAAATAAATAAAAACATTAAAAAAATTTTTTTTTACTTATCAAATAAAAATATATGTAAAATATACCTGCCATAATACATCTTTCTCTTGTTGCTCAAAGTGATTTATAAAATTTCTTGCTTTTTTTCCTTTGGTAGGTATTGATTGGCAGGTTCGGCCTCCTTTATCAGGACTTCCTACTCTTGGTAAAGTGTCTCTCAACAGGGAGCTTCATTTTAACACTTCCATTGCTAACTTGGTCATCCTTCGTGGGAAAGATGTGCATAGTGCAGATCTGGGTAAGCAGAAGTTAAGGTGAAAATTAAGATGTACATTTTGCTCATATACATGGTACACGTTTTTTTGTTTGTTTGTTTTTTAAAGGAAGTTCCTCCCCTGGGGTGCCTGAGTGGCGCAGTCAGTTAAGCATTGGACTTTGGCTTAGGTCATGATCTCTTGAGTTCGAGCCCAATGTTAGGCTCTGTGTGGACAGCTGGAGCCTGGAACCTTGCTTCAGATTCTGTGTCTCCCTCTCACTCTGCCCCTCCCCCTCTTGTACTCTCTCAAAAAAATAAAAAATTTTAGGAAAAAAGGAAGTCCCTGAATCTATTTTTAAATTTTTTTTAATGTTTATTTTTGGCAGAGAGAGAGAGACAGAGCATGAGTGGGGGAGGGGCAGAGAGAGAGGGAGACACAGGATCCAAAGCAGGCTCCAGGCTCTGAGCTGTCATCACAGAGCCCGATGCGGGGCTCAAACTCACAGACCATGAGATCATGACCTGAGCTGAAGTTGGACGCTCAACCGACTGAGCCACCCAGCCTCCCCCCTGAATTTATTTTTAAAGAAAGGAAAATAATAACTGTTTTAGTAGCAAAGTGTAAGCATTGTATCAGTAATATGACCAAAAAATAGAAGTGGTTGAAACAAGATATAGATTAAATTCTTTCTGTCCTCACCTTATGGCTTTCTCCTCTTGGTTTTTTTTTTTTTTTTTTAATGTTTATTTTTGAGAGGGAGAGACACAGGGTGCAAGCAGGAGAAGGGCAGAGAGAGGGAGACAGAATCTGAAGCGGGCTCCAGGCTCTGAGCTGTCAGCACAGAGCCTGACAAGTGGCCCGAATTCATAAACCGTGAGATCATGACCAAGATAAAGTAGGACACTCAGCCAACTGAGCCACCCGGGTGTCCCATGGCTTCCTCCTCATAGTCCAAGACATCTGTTTGAGCTTCAGCCATCAAATCACATAGGAATGAGCAAAGGAGGGTATGCTGCCTTTTCCTAGGGTCGCACACCACACTCATGTTTGAATAGCTTTGATTGGGACTGAATCTTGTGCTACAGCTAGCTGCAAGGGTGTCATGAGCACAGTTAAAATTGGGGAGCTCTGTTACTAAAGAAGGGGAGAACAGGTAATGTAGCACAACTAGGATCTCTGTGACAAGCATTTTGTTACAAAATTTTCAGGAGGTTCAAAGAGCAGTACTCTTATTAGTTTGTTTCTATGGCGAATCTCCAGGTTTGTATTATCCTTATTTGATGATTTTAGCAGTATCAAATTGGCTGCTTCTAGCTATGATAGAAAGAAGACCAAATAATCTAGTCCCTGTAATGCACCTTAGATAAAAAAGTGAAAACTAAAGAGAGATCATTTCAGGTCCATCAGATGGTATACTTTCTCCTACCTCAGAACATTTTCTTCATAGTCTTCATTTTAGATTCTAAATCAAGAGAATTAATAAGAGGATATGTAAAGTAATCAAACTTCCAAAAATTTACCCACAACAAATGACATAGGTACAGAGAGGTGTTCTTGCAAAGATATTCACTGTAGTATCTTTCACACAAAAATGTGGAAACAACCTCAATGCCCAACAGTAGGAAATGTGTTAAATAAATTATGGTATATTCACATACTAAGGCTTTAAATATGAGTGATATTTATTGACATGAAAAAGAGGTTCACACCATACTGGTGAATGAAAACAGATTACAGAACAGCGTGTGTGTAAAATTATATACACAAGAAGGTCAACAAAATGTTCACAATCTTCTCTGGATGGTGACATTTCACCTGTTCAGTTGACTTAAATTTTCTTCTTAGTACTTCTGGCGTGTAATTCTGAGTGGTGTGAATTACTACTATTTTTTTTACGATGACTATGGGTCATTTATCTAAAAGCACTATAAACTAGTTTTAAATAGGTAAAACAAAAGATTTCTGGTTAAATATTAAAATAAGAAAAATCTGTTTATTAATTTGTTTCCAAAATTAATGATTTATGGTATGAACAATGGCTTAATGTTGTTTTACTCTAGGAGGATTTAAAGATCCAGCACTCTATACTTCTTGGTTAGCGCCTGTTAATGCTTTCAATGTATGGAAAACCCAGCGAGCATTTAGCAAATATGAGAAGTCTGCAGCATTGGTCAGCAATAGCCAGTTCTTACTAAAACCACTTGATACGATTGTGGGCAAAGCATGGAATATGTTTGCTTCAAAGTAAGTAAAAAATAAATCTACAAACCTTTCTTTGTATTATTTATTTATTTACTTACTTATTTACTTATTTATTTATTTATAGAGAGTGTATGTGAGCAGGGGAGGGGCAGGAGAGAGAGAGAGAGAAAGAGAAAGAGAGAATCCCAAGCAGGCTCCGTCCCCTCAGCACAAATCCTGATGGGGGGCTTAATCTCACAGACTGAAAGATCATGACCTGAACCTGCTTATCCGACTGAGCCACCCAGGTGCCCAGAAATCTACAAGTCTTTCTACCCTTAGGAATATAAATCTTAAAACAGAAAGCAGGATCTGGAATGTCTTAGTCTGTTTGATTTGCTCTAACAAAAATAGCACAGACTACATATCTTATAAACAACAGAAATTTATTTCTCACAGTTCTAGAGGCTAGGAAGTCCAAATTAAATGGTGCTGGCAGATTTGATGTCTACTGAGGAGCTACTTCCTGGTTCATAGGTGATGTCTTTCCCTGTGTCCTCAAATGGCCAAAGAGGCAAAGATCTTTCATGGGCCTCTTTTAAAAGGGCACTGATTCCATTCATGAGGGCTCCACCTTCATGACCTATCACCTTCCAAAGGTCTCACCTCCTAATACTATCACCTTGGGGGTAAGATTTTAATGTATGAATTTTGGGGAAACGCAAACATTCAACCTACAACACGGAGTAAGCATGGCTTACTTTGTAGGTGTGAAATTCAGTCATGTTACTTCAGGCATCATTTTCTTTTCTGCACAATGGGTCCAAAATAAGAGGATATGTAGCGAGGATTAAGTGAGATAATCATGTAAGAATACCTACCACATTGCTGTTAACTCTTGTTGATAAAAGGAGTAGTTTCCAAATAAAATGAAACTAAAGTAGAAATTTCATTATAAGGCTGGGACAATAAAATAGTATTCCAAAATAAGATCCTTGGAAGAATGGAAGAGATCCTGATCTTGTTCAGCAAGAAATATTGCAAGTTTAACTCCATTTGCCACTACAAAATGTCTGCTTGATCCTAAGAAATGAGTTATCAGGTCTCCTGACCTCTGCCACAATTACTTGTCAAAGCAGAATTCCTCATATTAATTGGCAAGGCCTCTACTTTGATTATCCAGGATTCCCAAGGGCTCCCCCTTTCCACACGTGGCTATTCCACAAGCCCCGTCCAAAAGGACAGCAGTGAACTCTGTCCTTTTCTGATATTGTTCACTTCCCACTCCCCTTAAATGGCAGCAGCTCTTATTACATCCATTTAATCCATGTCTGCCCCTGACATTCTTTTTAATATTTGTCCTACCTCAGAACATTTGGAGGGTACGGGGTATTAAAAGAACCACCTGGTATAACTGCAAAGTAAATGTCTGAAAAATACTTGGGAGACTTCACTTCATTCCTAGCACTAAATTAATGCATTTCAAGCCTTAGGTAAAAATTCTCGGGCACCTTTTAGAGTTTGTATTGAACCCAGTCATCTCTGTAGGGTGTTCAATATGTGCTTGGTTAGATAACCAAATCTGAATAAGCTTCTTTTTCCTATGTGCTTCTTACTGTCACTCTCTTGGATACTAAAAAGGCGGGGAGCTTGACATAAACTTTCAAAGTTTACTAATCTTTGGAATAAATGTTGAAACAAATATAAGACATTTAAGAGATTCTTCCATCTTCAATTATTCATGAACTAGGACAGTTCTATTTATGGTTTGATTTTAGGAGTTACTAATTTCTCTGAGATTTTTTTTATTTTACATTTTCTGTTTCTTTCATCAGAGCCTACATTCATCAGTACACAAAATTTGGAATTGAAGAAGAGGACTTTCTGGACAGTTTCACATTGTTGGAACAAGTTGTTGCCAGTTACTGCAATCTCTGATCGCCAACAGAGGAGAAAAAGTACCCTAGGTCATTTTGGGGCTAAACAATTTTCAATATTACTTTTTCTGTAAGGTGTTCAGATCCCTACCTGTTAAAGTAACAAAGGTGAATGCTGTTTCCTTTGGCATACCATAACCACAGAAAAGGAGGAAAACTTTTTTTTTAATTTTTTTTAACGTTTATTTATTATTGAGAGATACAGACAGAGTATGAGCATGGGAGGGGCAGAGAGAGAGGGAGACACAGAATCCGAAGCAGGTTCCAGGCTCTGAGCTGTCAGCACAGAGCCCAATGTGGGGCTCGAACTCACAAACCGCAAGATCACAACCTGAGCCGAAGTCAGATGCTTAACTGGCTGAGCCACCCAGGCGCCCCAGGAGGAAAACCTTTATTTCATTTTATTTTATTTTAATTTTTTTTTAATTTACATCCAAATTAGCATATAGTGCAACAATGATTTCAGGAATAGATTCCTTAGTGCCCCTTGCCTATTTAGCCCATTCCCCCTTCCACAATCCCTCCAGTAACCCTCAGTTTGTTCTCCATATTTATGAGTCTCTTATGTTTTGTACCCCTCCCTGTTTTTATATTATTTTTGTTTCCCTTCCTTTATGTTCATCTGTTTTGTCTCTTAAAGTCCTCATATGAGTGAAGTCATAGGATTTTTGTCTTTCTCTGACTGACTAATTTCACTTAGCATAATACCCTCCAATTCCATCCACATAGTTGCAAATGGCAAGATTTCATTCTTTTTCATTGCTAATACTCCATTGTATAGATATACCACATCTTTATCCATTCATCCATCGATGGACATTTAGGCTGGTTCCATACTTTGGCTATTGTTGATAGTGCTGCTATAAACACGGGGGTGCATGTGTCCCGTCGAAACACCACACCTGTATCCCATGGATAAATGCCTAGTAGTGCAATTGCTGGGTCGTAGGGTAGTCCTATTGTTAGTTTTTTGAGGAACCTCCATACTGTTTACAAGAGTGGCTGCACCAGCTTGCATTCCCAAGGAAAACCTTTATACTATATGTTACCTTAGATTATAATAAAAGATAAAAAAGAAAAGGAGGAAAACCTTTTTTTTTTTAAGTTTATTTTATTTATTTTGAGAGAGAGTGTTGTGTGTGAGCAAGGGGGGTGGGGGCAGAGAGAGAGGGGGAAGGAGAGAAAATTCCAAGCAGGCTCAACGTTGTCAGCACAGAGCCCATACAGGGCTTGAACTCACAAACTGTGAAATCATAACCTGAGCCAAAACCAAGAGTTGGACCTTAACCGACTGAGCCACCCAGGTACTCCTGGAGGGAAACCTCTTAAATGGGAATAGCATGTTTTTGAGGTGCCTGGCTGGCTCAGTCAGAAGAGCCTGTGACTCTTAATCTGGGGGTTATGAGTCCAAGTCCCATGCTGGATGTAGAGATTACTTAAATAAACAAACAAACTTAAAAAAATTTTTTTTAATGAAAATAAATGAAAAATAGTATCTTTTCAATGAAAACACTTGGTGTTTTTATTTGTAAGAAAAATAATGGTGCTTCAATAAAGAAATTTGGAAACACTTTGCTGAGATGTTGGAACTATGGAACTATACAAGAAAGGGGAATATTCTTTTTCTAAATCTTCCCTTTATTCCAGAAAGGATTCACTAAATATGGGCTAAACTTTCACTACACACTTTTGAACTTAAGAAATTGGCAGTTCTGTATTTGTGTTCCCCTCTGAAGTGAATGCTTTGAACCATAAGAGGGAGCTATTGTCAAATGCTAGAGCATGAACATCTATTTTGAATATTCTATAACAGGGTAAGATTTTCCACATCAAGCAGCTATTTAAAAATAAATATCAGATCTTGTTAATAAATGTATATTATGCTTTTTTAAATAAATGTATACCATGCTTAAGTACAAAAGTAAGTAAATGTTTGCTTTTCTTAAATTTTCTATCCATCAGAAAACTGGGTCAGTTTTTCTTTTACATCTTGAATACAAGAAAAGAAACTGATTTTATTCAACTAGTGTTTTCAGATTACTTATAGGTATTTATCTGGTGTGGAAGATGTTGTGCTTTTCAGTAAAATGTGTAAGAACTTCACCAAAATTTCATGAAGTTGAGATACTATCCTGTTCTTGATGAAATGGACACAAACAGATGTGGGTTTCACTCAGTAGAACAAAACACACTTGGAAATTGGCAACTGAGTTTGAGGGTAATTGTGTATTTCAATAAAACACATCTCATGCAATGTATTAACACATGTAAAATGGGAAATAAATACAAACGTTGGCCCTTTCTGCCAAATCTACCAGTGGTGATTTATTTTTTATATGGAAAAATGACAGTTCACAGCTTCACTGGTTTCTTCCTTTTCTTTCCATATGGAAATGATTACCTTTTTGCTGTTTTTCTTATCAACTGTTGCTATGATTTAAAATACTGAGCCATATCTTATTTCTAAGGAATGTAAAAAGTGGTCTGTTCAGTTGCTAAAAGGCACACCCCTCTGCTGCATTTTGTTAACCCAAGTGTACTTGAAAAATAATCAGATAATAATTTTTACAAAATAAAGTTAAAAGTAATTATTTTACATTGAAGATATCCAGAGACTGAAACAATTTCCCTAACTGAACCAACATTAATGAAGACCTGTAACTCACCAGGGGTTAAGCTAATTCTGAGGAACATTGCTAAAAGAGAAGCTAAAGAAAGTCATAAGTATAAATCATTTTATATTTGAGAAAGAAATTCATGTCCAATGGTGACAAGTGTATTTCTAATTTGACATCTCATGAAATCAATGGCAGGTGAATATTAGAAGAAAGCCCCAATTTGACACAGCTCTGGGTCCATTCACTTAGATGAATAGAGTCTCTGTTATGATCCACAACTACATTATTTGATGTGTGTAGATACCTAAATATTTGCAGACTTGTTTTAAACATTCACATGGAAAATATTTTTTTGTCTGTGTAGGGTAACATTTTTGGTATCAGACTTGTGATTTAACTTAAAAACTAATACAAAGAAGCTGATCAAGATAAAGCGGTGTCAGTGGAAATGTACTTTGTGTAGAGAAAACAGCCAACCAGCCAGGACAAAGTAGAATCTTAACTTCCTGGGCATACAGATCCAGAACCTTTAAAATTTATATATATGTGTGTGTGTGTGTTCATTTATTTGTGACAGAAAGAGTGCAAGCAGAGGAGGGACAGAGAGAGGGAGACATGGAATCCAAAGCAGGCTCCAGGCTCTGAGCTGTCAGCACAGAGCCCGATGCAGGGCTCAAACTCACGAACTGTGAGATCATGACCTGAGTCCAAGGTGGACGCTTAACCAACTGAGCCATCCAGGTGCCCTCAGATCCAGAATCTTTGAACTTGTAATATCTTAGATTACTGGGTAACTGGAGAACTATGTTGTCACTCACATCCCACAGTGCCAGGATGCACCCCCTATAGGCAGTAAGTACAGTGTAAATTCAAATGGCTGCTTATTTTCAAGCCTTTTCATTCTCCATTTGTGCTCTTGTCAAGAGCTCCTTAAGCTGTAGAACCTGTTTCTTCCCATTTGGTCCCTCTTGATTCTAACTTTGCCCCAACAACACTAATCTACAACATCTTTCTCCTTTATTTAACCTGTCACTTAGAACTTAGCAAATGTATCCACAATTCACTGTTGTGGATTGGACAGGGCTGTTCTATTGGACAGGTGTCTATTCTAGACATCTCCGTTTGTTCATTCGTTTATTCAGGCAGTATCTATTCAGTGCCAGGCATTGAACTAGATGTTGATGTAGGAGTCAATACCACATAGTCTGAAGAAGCTTACAATGTAGCTAAGTTACTTTGAACGTCTTAATGCTACAATCCTAGCTTCCTAATTATTATTTATTATCTTCCACATGTCCGTGTTCCACTTTTTTACAGCAAAGCCGTAGTACAGGGCTAAGAGCTCTAGTCTAGGCTTTAAATTTGTCTGACACGCCTCCTCACTGGCTCTGTGGACTCTTGCAGTGTACATACCAGTGATTCTTCTCCTGACCACCATGTTTATCACACTTGAATTCCTGTCCAAAATTTTGTTTTAAAACATGCTCCATATGTTCTTATCACAGTATTCTCTCCCCATGAGCCCAAGGTTTGGCAGTCAACGCTTTCTTGTTCTTCAACCTACATACCAAATACGGCTTTACTAGCTTGTCATTGGCAAAAAATCAGTTATTTAGAAGATGTTTGCTCATCTGTATCAATCACATTGTTTCCTATGGTTTTTAGGGATATGAGCTAAAAATCTGGCTTTACATATTTAACTAACTTCTTACTCCAATACTCTGAAATGTCTCAGATGATGCAATGTCAGCCTTATTAATAAATGGAACCCCATTTCCAATAGAATGCTTGCACAAGAAGCTAAGGTAATGTAAATATTCAAGTTTCAGGGGAACACAGTGTGGGGTCAGTGTTGTAGAAGATATGGCATTAAAGGGAGAAGAGCAAAAAGAAAATCCCATTTAGATTCCAGGGAGCCAGGGACAGAGGAAGAGATGAAAAGGAAGGTTGATGACGCTCCCCACGACCAAAGAATTGCTATCAAGCAAAGAATGGCTTACAAGCATTTTAAGAAAAAGACTTGCTGGTTTTTGAAATATGGACTTTACCTAAAGATAAAAAAAAAAAAAAATCTAAGAATAGCTTAAAAAGAAACAGCACATGGCATCTGGGTGGCTCGGTTGAGCATCTGACTCTTGATTTCAGCTCAGGTCATGATGTCATGGGTCATGAGATCAAGCCCCACATCCGGCTCTGCTGATAGTGCAGAGCCTGCTTGGGATTCTCTCTCCCTCTCTTTCTGCCCCTCCCCTGCTCGTGATCTGTCTCTCTCTCAAAATAAAGATGAATACTTTTATGGCTTGTCTACTGATAAGTACACAAAAATTCAAAGATTCTATACTTGATGGGTGATGGGCATTATAGAGGGCACTTGTTGGGATAA